CAGAAAACTTGATGCTTATTTATTAGTACATCTGATGGGCGGGAAGTCGCATTTCTGTATGTTGACCATAGAGCAGAATCATTTAATCATCCTTCTACTTCGAGTAAGTAAGTAGCGAATTCATAAGGTGGGATTCACATATCAGAGGGAATTTCATAAATGGGATTAAGTTGAAGGCGTTGTAAAGATTATCGCGCAGTCAAATTCTGCATCACACACACACACACACGCAACAAATCTATCGTCAATACATACACATTTTGTAAAGACGAAACAGACCTATAAAAAGATGTGAGGACATGTTATAAAACAATCGCCTAGAGAAGTTTTTTGGTCCTACTTAGAGCCTAGTCAGCTAGGGATGACTCACAAATCAACCCAATGGCAATTATAAATTGTGGCGAGCACTACTGACAAGATTTATCAGCAGTATTATACACGCAGATTTATAGGAAGCAGCGAAAATTGAAAACAACATTTTAAGTCAATTGACTGTAGAGGTAAGAATGCTTCTTTAACTAAAACCTACATCTAGCTTACGTTGTGGTCAGGAAATAAACTCAAGGTTTAGCCTTCAGAAAATTAGCAACCAATCAGAACAGTTTATTATCCGCTGACCTAGCCTGACCATAAATGTGGCTAAAAATGTATAAATACGGTGTAGTTTTTTTCCTCAATAAAAAAACTCCGTTACCACAATCTCTTCATGAATAAATAAATGTTAAAGATGTATGTTAAGAGTATTTGCTTTTCAGACAGTACACAGGATTAGAAATATTTCGGTTACATGCATATGAAGTAATCATCACACGTAGAAGATTTAAGGAGGCAGGTGGTTACAATGCTTCAATAGTGAAATCAAATATGCACGTCATTTTATTCAATGACTAGTCCATTGTTATTATTATTCCCTTGGGTTCCAGGCGAACACAGGGCACCGAAACAGCACATCTCCACTTTGTCCAGTTCTCTGCAGTTCTCTTCAACTGCGCCGCACAACCAGCAATAGGCTCTCATTTCCTTCAGCTCACACGACCTCCTGCATATCATGCTCGAAGCGACACTCAACTTGCCGTATGCCATTCGGGTGCCACTTGAGTGATGCTCTGGCATATGACGTCACTCAACGGTCTTCTCAGAATGTGCCTGATCCATCTCCATTTTCTTCAGCATATTTTTTGATTAGGTCATTCCCAGAGTTCTTTGTTTTGTTTAGTAATTCTTTCTAGCCATCAATGACCAGTCCATTGTATCGCAAAATGGTAAATCAAATGTTCATTGAATTTGTGGAATATTCCCCCAACGACGGAGATGATTCTGATTCGACTCTCGGGGCCAATGTTCTCTTAAACTTCACCAAATTTACTTACTAGTTGCTTGTAAACTCGGAAAAGAGAGATAAGGTTAGGTTAGGTAGCAGTGAGTGAGTGAGCGAGGCGCTAGTAACCTCATCGCGCGTAAAAACAAAACTGAAACTTCAAAGATTAGTGTGCTGTGAGTGAAGCCCCATGTTCCCCACGCCATTTGGAATGTGAAGGAATCAAGCAAAACAAAACAAAGGACATCAATAGTATTACGAAATATACACTGAAATTGGAAATCTATTCAACCAAAAGGCATCAAATACCTAGGCGATGAATCCTCTATTAAAAATCGAAAGTGAAATTCTCCCTTAGGTAGAATGATTCGTCCTAGTTTGGGACTCTTCATCAGCACACATCCACCGGCGGAGTTCGAACCCAGGACCTTCTGGTTGCACAATAGCAACTTGCCCTATTCAGGTAGGTAGTTAGCTGGGGTTCTAGTGAGAAGTCGTGACCAGTAGGGTGAAGCAGGTCGGGTGTGAGGACAAGTGCTCGGCGAAGACATTGGCCAGTGGTTGCGCTATGTCGTCAATTGGCAAAAGTTAGAATTCATGGACTGGCTGGCCATTAGATCGGGTCCCAGTGGCTCAATGGTCTACGAGCTGGCTTGCCTTGTAACCAGAAGGTCCAACCCCGCAGTGTAGGTGTGTACTGATGAAGAGTCCCGAACTAGGCTGACGAAACAGCTGTTCAGTACTCCCTGCAGGTTTTCCAATGGTTCTCTAACCAATGTCAGCTCATGATGAAATAGAGCTCATTATTGGCAAGAATTTAGCTGATGAGAGGTAAGCAAACAGGAGGGATATGTGTGTGAGTGTGTGTGTTTAGGTAAAATGACAACAAATATGACACAAATGAGAGACACACAGAGAGATAACAGCCAAAACAACAAATAGAAGATAAATTTGGCACACACAGGTAAAACAAAATGCCCCAACAACAACAACAACAACTGAAGCAGAAGTAGGTAACAAAACAGCAATAAGAGCAACAAGCTTGATTACAACACTCAACTCTCCCCTCCACTCCACTCCACTATATATACTAGATGACAACGATTAAGTAAGTAGGCATAGGCATACATACTGTTCAACTACTCAACTACACAAGATACATTTCACAGACACTGAAACTCATCAGCAGTTTAGAGGCGATGAACAAATATACAGCTAAAATCAATGTATGTATGCATGTATGCACATAGCATGTGTGAACGTATGAGAAAGCGGGGGGCGGGTAATGGCGACTGAATTGTTCACACCCTTCTTCTACTCGCTGTCAGATAATACCTGCTGAACAAAAAACGTATGACACTGTAGTGTATATGCAAACATACACCCAGCAGAGGGTGGAGCATGGCGTGTGGGAATCAAACCACTTAGGCTAAAATGTTAATCTCTATAGCTGGCTAGGTTAAATATGCTTCATATTAGTTTAGTTTTAGGAGGAGGGAAACACACGCGCATACACGTACGCACACATACACACACAAACACAGAGACACAACACAACAGAGCATGAAAAGACAGAAAAATGAAACAAACACCAACACGTGTTTCTTACCCTCACGAACTGAAATAAATGAAAAAAAACATAATATTTTTTAAAGGTAAGGAGTGTTAGACGACGGTGGAACGGAAAATATAATTGATTAATCATATATATATATATATATATATATATATATATATAACACAGATGTTCATTTTTACCGCGGTACCTAGAAATTGATATGAAATGCCAAAAACGTCAGCCAGCCCTAGTGATCATACGATATATATTCGTTTGAATGAAAAAGAACAGAAACACAACTTCTCCATCAATTTCGAATCACACCAACCAATTCAAAGTCTCATATTACCAAAGAACACTGCAAATCTTTAAACAAAATCCAAAGAAGACAACAATGTTGTGGGAGGGAAGGTTCGGGTACTGACTACTGAAAAAGGTGAGAAGAGTAGACAGATAAGTACAAGTACTATTCGGAAGTAGACATCAAATTCTTTGTCTACTGCTTCAAATTCTATTAAAATCACAAAAAGCTGATTTCATAGAATCAGTGGCTGGCTGAATAATCAACGCGTAGGCTTCACATAACACGAAGATTCTGGATTCAATCAATCAATCTCCGATGAGGTTATGGTTGCACATTCCTCAGGAGTCGCAAACTAGGACGGAAACGGTGTCTAGTAATCCTTGGCTTTGTGTACACCACTGGTTCTGTAGGTCTTATCATTCCAGAAATGTTGTTTGGATAACGATTCGACTACGATCTTAGTATAAATCTGAGGGCGAAGTCATACTACTGCGGAATAGGGATGTAATAACAGTAAAGATGGCCAGCCAGTAGGCCAGGTATGCTGCCTCTCAACTCTGATGAGATGAGGTTAGAAACTGTTGGCACCGAAAAGAAATTTGTACATCCCAACTTACCCTGAGTCAGTGGAAAGACACTCAAACGGACACAACGGCAAAAACTAACTCAAACAATCAGTACGTAATTAATAACTACCAACACATAAAGCTTTCCTAATCACACCACCCAAATGATGGCACATTTAAATGACATGTACAATGTCCATTTATCATAATCAGATATAATTAGTTAACTAACAGTTTCCTGTTTATGAATATTATGAATATTATTAGGCTTAAATAGATTAGATTGGTTAATTACAATCCAGTCATCGGAAGCAGATCTTTCATCTATCAGGTTATGAACTAATATAAATAGACATATACAAACACACCTGTGTAAGGGTATTGTCGAGGCTGAAGCAAGTAAGGCAGGAGTCGAAATCAGAACTTACTATAGCTAAAGTGGATGGCTTAGGCCAATGGGCCAGACAGATTTTCATCAAGCTTAGGTTAAGTGAATCTAAGCAATCTGTTTTTAGCATTATAACTCAAAAATATCAAAACAACAGATAACAGAGTTGTATTCAACAAAAAGAAGCAATAACAGAAAAACCAGTTAAGTAGAAAATAAAATATTATAATACACCCACTGATTGGGTAAATGTATAATGGCTGATACACTTCTCCCAGACTACACACTACACTATCATCCAGGGCGCATACACTTCGGGCACTCACTCACTCACTCACTCACTCACTCACTCACTCACTCACTCACTCACTCACTCACTCACTCACTCACTCACTCACTCACTCACTCACTCACTCACTCACTCACTCACTCACTCACTCACTCACTTCAAGAGAGAGATTCCCCAGCAGATCGAACAAAAAATGTGTACAACAATTGTACAAAACACTGGTTACATCATATTATACTAGTAAAAATAAAATTTTTCACACGAAAAGGTCGACTAAAAGTTGTTTGTTGTTGTTGAAAGAATGTAACTTGTGTTAGTTCTCTTCTTTATTATTTATTCTGAAAAATGTATGATTCCAATGAACTCACCCTTATATTTCCTTACTGTAAAAATTTAAGTGAATATACAAGCATAGACAATATTAATAAGGATAATACGATAGGAGTGACATGCATTCAGATATATATACTACTTACTGACGAGTGGTTAATAAGTAGTATATGTAAATGTAGTAGAAAAAAAGCAAAAGCGGACCAAATTAGGAATAAAAGTTGAATAAACAACAACAACAACTTACATCTTGTTTTATTGTTAGTCACATTTGAAACAACATTAGCAGTAACAGGATGATTCATAGTGTTATGCTCCCTTGGTAGTAAATGATCTGTGGATGAGGTTGTAGCAGCAGCAGCAGCAGCAATTATTGGGTAGTTGAGATGAATTGGATAAATCATCATTGGCTGAATAACCAGTCTCTGAAGTGATGACACTACTCGGTCGACTATTATTCATAGCTGATAATGACATATCAACTAGTGCACGTATATAGCGTATATGTTCTTTAGAGACAGTTGCATGTGAACCTGTAGTATCAACAGCATCATCGACTGAGGGTGGAAGACAAAAAACACACACAAAAAAAGGAAAAGAGTGAAAGATAACGATGCATTTAAAAGAAATGCTTCAAGCATTGCAATCCACTGCTAGTCACCATCCACAAATTAAATTCTAATTACATGCCCAGACATCGTTGAAGTATCTGCACAAGAAGCCCGACATGTCAACCTGAGACCGAGCACTTCGGTCCAATCAATCGACGGGATAAGTCTAAAATTCAATTAAATAATTAATATGACCCGTTGCACAAGAGGTGGCTCTCGTGGATAACGCTTTGGCGTTTGAAACTATGGGCACTGGGTTCGAGTCTCGGTGAGGACATCATCACTCACTGCGGAATGCAGGTACATCCAGATGACGAGTCCCAAATAGGACGAAATGCGCATCCTGGATTCCACTGCTAGTCACCATCCACCAATCAATTAGATATTGATTATTTATAGTTTCAATTTCCGTTGATATGTATAGATTAATTTACTCTGTATTTTGAATAATAAAGTTATTGTTGTCGTAATAGTTGAACCTGAGTATCTGTGTATCTACGTCAGTGTGGGGGAATACTTCCAAGTGATCAGTTTCCACAAGATATTTCCACCGGTTACTGAAGTCACTGTTGTCACACAGTATTTGGGACGACGGGGTTCAGTGACGTCATAACAACAGTATATTATGCAATAAAGGAAATACATACATTAACGCACACATATATAAAATAAGAAATAAAATGGAATTTAATTAGAATAAGGCATTTAGAAGACAAATTTTGTGAGATGATATAGTCATTTCGTAGTTTCTTTACAACCGCTTTACAACTTCACAATAATAAAATAAAATGCATGACAATTACTCAGTTATATAAAACAAAAGTACATGCTAATGACCAATCATATTTAATTAGGTCAAGTAGTCCATAGTAGGCGAAGGTTGAAGTCTATTGTTTTTTTGAACACATAGTTTAAGATGTATGCAATTAGTCCAAAGTGCTTGCATCACCTCTGATAACCTTGAATTGCAGTTATGTGAAATAATTGTGAAACCATCATTAATTAATATTGATTTTGTGACCTGACATAGTTAAGTGCTTTGCAATGGATGATACTGGATTTCAATTCAGATTAATAATTGCATTGGGATTTTCTATATGGTTTAGTAGCCATTTTGGAACATGTTCTTTTCGACGACATTGGAACATTCTAATGGTTCTATCTACATTAGTGTCACCGCAACTGCAGGTGAACTTGTAGATACAGTTTGAAGTAGAGTCCACAGAATTTCGTCCTTTGATCGTAGGTGCAGTAATCGAAAATGTTCGATATGTGAGGGAAAGAGATGTGGCGTAGAATGTGTGCTTGACGGATGACAGAAGTCTTTGAGCTGTCAACTGCATAATCTGGTCACCCTTGAATGGTAGGTTAATAAAGATAGCTTTCTTTGGTACAGAAGCTATCTTTTCAAGATGTGGTCTATCCTTACTGCAACAATGGGTAAAGCCTCCTGGATAACCATTAGTTAGTAAAACTGAATGTAGATGTCGAAGCTCATCCATCAATGTGTCACTCGTGCGTATTTTGTGGGCCCTTGAGAACAAACATTTCACTAGGGAACGTCTAAACTGGATAGAAACAAAACTAGTGAAATGAAGATATTGTCCACTCCATGTCTATTTACGAAAAATGGATCGCTTAATCGTTCCATCGTCTCAAACTGTGTCTACAAGTTTACCTGCAGTAGGTAGAAACAATAGAATGTCCGAATATCATCGAAAAGAACATGTTCCATAATGATCATTAAGAAACATAGATGGGGTGACACACAGTAGTTCAGTGTCGTCATAACGACAGTATATTATGCAACAAACGCAATACACACATATAAAATGAGAAATAAAAAAATGAGAATTTAATTGTTTAAAAAAATACACATACCATTATCACCAGTACTACCTTTCGAGGCAGTTTTAATATTTTTAAATGTATTCAAAATAATATTTGACTGCATTTCACTACCACGTAACAGGTAGGCACCAGTCTCAGGATGTTGCCAAGTGACCACAGGGAAACGACCTCGTTTATGTGAACGAGCCACTTTAGTTAAACAGTTCTGACTAATACCCTTTAAAAAAAAAGAAATTACAAATAAGAAAAAATGAAAGCGGGAATTCAAAGTATCATTTCATGTATAAATAATAAGAAATCACTTTTTCTTGTTATTCCTTTACGTTCCGAGTGGAACATGGGGCTTCAAGTTAGAGCTTTGAAATTTCGGCGTCAGTGGGTGAAGTTGCTAGCCTCATCCCCAACCTTCCCTCTTTATCGTTCTTACTACCGGATAAGCGAGGTAATGGGAGTGGGTCAACCGGGGATCGACCACACTGGACCAAGTGAGGCGTGGTCGGCAAGCATCCTACACCACTGAACCACCGATGTAAAAAAAAATCACTAGTTAGTTGGATTAATAATAGAGATTCTGACTGACTGTGATAATAAGTAGTACAAACTTCAATTTGAAAAGTATGAGGAGATTAATATCAAAAGCAAGCTAAAAGTTACGAGTCACACTTATTGTGTGTGAGAAGGCTACTACAGTGCTCGGAGGGCGATTCGAACCTGGCATTCATCGGCTCAAATTCGAAAATATATAAGGCGAAACAAGGACAGGAAAAAAATAAAGCAGAGTATCAAGTCGACTTCAGAGGAAATCGATGGTTTCTGCCCGCGTAAAAAGGTGATTTTTTTTGATTGGACACTAGTTAGCGACTAGTGTAATGTGTCTAGCCCTATCTTTGGTGCAGACTGAATTCTGTCAGAATGACTGTCAATGACAAGATAGCCAAATCACGGCAACTGGCGTGTGTAGGAGGGACACCAATATTAGAAAAGTATACGATGGTAACAGAGTGTCACGTCTATAACCTCATACAGAGGCATCTCTCATTAAAACGACGGGCGACGCATTAAATAGGCAACAGGCGTACAACAAGTGAGTAAAACTCGTATTTGGGCAAGTAAACACGAATTCGGGCACGTAAACCTCGTAGGGGAGGGACGCGCGTGTATATGCAAGGACGGGCGGGTGCATCATTCGTCGTAATTACATGACATGGGATTTGGTTACTTTAACAGAGTTATAGTTACCTGTCCTTACCCAGACTAACTATTTTTTAAAATTTATTTTTGATTACAGCTTGATTCCACACCGCATTTTTTGGTACAGGTATGTAATTTTCAGCATGTGATATCGGTAGCCCAAATTTCGCAGGCCCACCGTAGATATCAGGCGTGTGTCGGCAGGGGATGAAACCCCGGACCATGCGCATGGTCGGTGAGAATCCTAACCACTGTGCCACCGATGCACTGAGTTTGACTCAGTTTAGGAGAGCATCAATCGGAAATCAGACGCTGGCCCGCGTGTACGGTTTGCAAACCACCGACTCACCACACATTGACTTATAGCACAAAAATGAATAGTATTCGTTATCACTGGAGTCACAGTTGTATGTATGTATGTATGCTGAGTATACCGATACTCACTAGAAGGAGTGTGAATGGAAGTCGTCAAAAATATGGCTATAAACAACCTTTAAATGAATATCCACAAGTCAAAAAAGACAAAAAAACTGTGACTACTTACCTGTGGTATAATAAAAAAGCTTGGATAAGATTTCACTATAGTATGATGAACATTAAATGCAACAAGACGAGCAGAACAATACACTCGACTGCCGATACTGCTTCCAGCTCTACCAGATATAGATCGATTCAGTGAACCGTTGCCGTCGTTTAATCCTGCAGAATAGTTCACTGGTGATGTTGGTGTTGCAGCCATTGTCATGCTAGCAGTATTTGCACTGACATTACTACAGAAACGCACCATATCTAAATAGCCTACTGATTCTGTTAGTAATTTCATAAGTTTTGGATCAATCAGGGTAGCAGCTGTTGATGAGGCTGATATAGATGGAGGTATTAAATAGGCTTTCAGTGTGGCTGTTAAATTGGAGATTGCTTCTTCAGCAAGTATACCTAGAGATTTTTATTTTTTTTTGGAAAATACATAAAGAAAGAGAAAGTCATGAGAAGATGTTGAGACATTAAATTCTATGTAGGGATAATAAAGATATCAGCATCAAATACATCACAAATAGAAAAAAATTACCGAGTAGTGTGAACTTTAGTGGAACCCATTTGGAAAATAAACGAAGTCTATAACTCCAAATAGAGGCTAGTGTACAAGCTGTACCATGATATTTAAGGATTCAACGATGGTACATTAATGATATCTTGACCCTTTGACGGATTATGGAACAGAGATATACGTGACGGCATCCAACATATTCTATATCTCTTGATCAGGAGGTGGAAATCAATTTCATCGATCGGAAGGTGTTGTGGCAATGCGCTTGACTGTGAGTAAAACGTCGGGAAAACAAATTACACCAATCAGATGACAATTCACGAACTATCACAGCCGTGTAGAGATTATAGGGTCTTTGTTACCTGAAGTATTGGAAACCTGAGATGTTAGTAAGCGATGTGTCGACCTCATCATTTTCACTAGATTTCCACTTTTTGGATGTTAACAGGATATGACGAAGAGATCACGTTTATTTAGACTACGCAGATGATGATATACGCCTTTGAAGTGAAGGACAGGTAACAATTGAAGAGTTTTCTGAGGACTCTGAGCAAAAGCCTGAGTAATTTTAGGATCCAATGATCAAATGTGACATGATACATCTCTGGTTTAAGGATAGAGAAAGACAGAGAGAAATAGTTGAACATGTTCAACAATTAATTGATCCAGGAAGTTGAATCAACACAAATCGAATGATTGCAGATGATTATTCAGGATGCGAATCTCGCTATTCATCGAAAAGCCTGTTCATACAGCAACAGTTGGTTTTGTACTAACCTACTACATCTCTGTGAAACATGATATCAAAGTGAAGGACGTGATAAGATTTAAAGTTTCAACCATAAGAGACTTTGTGTAATACGGTTTTCGTTGTGTGTGGCAACATACTAAGGTAAAAAAAAGTTAGATGTAAAGTGTTCAGTAGAGAGAGAAAGTCAGTCGATAGAGAAATGAAGGTGTGTCTAGGGCATGTGTTCAGTAAACCCAGTTACCGCATTCTTCAACAAGTAATTTCAGCTAAACTAAATGCATCAATATATGAGTGTAAAACTTAGGCACTGTGGTAGTAATTCCATATTAGTTTGTGAAACAGTATTATTATTTACTGGATGACCTTTCGAACAAAATTTATTGTTCATAATCATTCCATCAATTATAATCACACGACTTCGAAACCTGAATTTTATAGTCTTCTTTGTTCCCTCCTATTTGTCGTCGTAGGGGTAGTAGGTTGGAAAAAGTGTTCATATTAATCTTGGCACTGACACTACATAAAGTCACTGACTGAGGAAGCCATTCAGAAATCCATAGCATAAAAACACATAGATCAGAGTGAGTTCGAATAACGTCCAGAGACTGAGGAACAGATGCCACCGGTATGCATGAAACTCTATCGCTAAGAATGGATTCAGAAAGCTTAATCATGAGACAATCACTACATCAGATGACAAAAAGTATCTTCCAACAACAGTGCGTCGGTGGTATAGCGGTTAGGACGCTCGCTGACCATGCACATGGTTCAGGGTTCGATCCCCGGCCGACGCACTCCTTTACCTCACAAAGCCAGAAATAATGCTGGTGAAGAGGAAAGGTTGGGCATGAGGCTAGCAACCCCATCCTGTTAAATAAACACTGCCACAGAAACTTTAAGCCACTAGCTTGGAGCCCTATGTTCCACAGGGGAACGTGAAGGAAAAAAAACCCATTATCATCTTTCATGGTTTAGTTAAATAACAACATACTGACAATTTGCTTGATGGTAGGTAGCTAATAATGGAGGAGGTACTTCGTACTATTTTGGACTCGTCATTAATTTCTTTTCCATTCTGAGTGGGACATTGGGGTGAAGCCTCGTAGTTTCAGTAGCCGCAGTGTTGTTTTTAACGCGAGTAGGATTGCTAGCCTCAGTCACACCTAACCTTTTTTCATTTCGCAGACTTACTATCGGCTAGTAAACTCTAGACGAGGTGTAGGAGTGAGTCGGCCGGGGATCGAACCCCAGACCACATACTCAGTTGGTGAGCATTCTTCCGATGAACCACTGACTCATCAGCTGGATGTATTTGCATCGCCATTGAGGCCTGACATCACCTCCTTTAGTTCTAAACATCAATAATATCAATTAACGGTGAATTCAAGTTTTAGACAATTTTCAGTTATGAAAACTTCTATTTTACTTCCATGGTCAAGTTGTCTTATGGAAGATAAATATTTATATACTTCCCATAAAAGGATGTTTTTTAAAGGATGCTCGTACTATTAGTATTAATCCTTTAGGTTCTGAGTGGAACATAGGGCTTCAACAACACATCTCCACTGTCTTCTATCCTCTGCTGTCCTCTTCAACTGGCTAGCTCTACGACTGCCCGTAATCTCTCATTCTCCACTCCACAACACATGATCTCCCCCACGTCACCCTCACACCGACGACCCACTCGTCACTTCCCATTAGGATTCCACTCGAGCAATAGCCTGCACTGAGCGCGATATCATTCGACGGCCTTCTCAACATATGCCTGATCCATCTCCATTTTCTCTTACATATTTGTTGAGCAATCGGCTCTTAGTTGGTTTGTCCCCAGCCAGAGTTTCTTGTTGTTAATCCTTTCTGGCTGGCTGGCTGGCCATTTGGTCTTCAATAAGGAGCCAGTGAAAGCAACTATTATTAATCAATGTCAATCTGAGTGTATGTGAAGCTACCGCTGTTTTATACGTTATAATGTTATGTTTCATCATAGTCAACATCAAGTCTTATACGAAGCGATACAATAACGGAAATTAATGCCCAAATAGGCATCATATTCACTTTGAACAGATTTTGTATACTATGCAATTTGACATTAAGAGTGTACTTTTGTCAGTTAAAATAAACAACAAAAACAACAATAAAATAAATAAATAAATAAGTTCATCCAATTGAAAAATGACTATAGATTAACTCCGGAAATGCTTACAGATGGATACATATATATATACAACATAGCTAACTAGAAAATAAGGGGAGTCACCGCCAACTGTGATTGTTTGTTAAATACACACATACACACACACACAAGAGAACAAGAATGAAAGTGGAAATCACACAGTAACATGCAGCTATGAAATAGTCATTTTAAATTTATTCTCATAGGTCTTTCTTTTTTAAATTCCTTTACGTTCCAAGTGAAGAATAGGGCTTCGAGCTAGAGTTTTGAAGTTCTAGTAGTAGTGGTTTCGTTTTTATGGGGCGGGGTTGATAGCCCCACGCCTAGCTTTTCCTTCATTAGTAGCCTTAGTAGCTTAGCGAGGTTTAGGAATGCGTCAGTAGTGGATCCAAACACGGACAATATATGCATGGTTGAGTAGCGTTCAACCTCTGAACCACTGACACACTTCATTGGTCTAAGCGTGTGTTAGGTGTTATACTGATTTTGAATCCTTTCTCAGGTATTTAGAGAAGAAATACAGTACTACTGTGAAGCATTTCGTCACCACTAAACAACCTTATTTTATCTTAGTGTTAATGGAACGACGTGTTAACAGTAACAATTTAGGCAAGTAGTCATTATTTCTCTTTTTAATACTGTGTCAATACCTTATTAGGAAAAGAATCCAATCAAAAATTACAATGAAATATGTGAGCAGCAGCCGTTAAATATACTGAAATGAGTATTCACTCAAAGATGGAGTGTTTCTTTTAAAATAATCACACTAAGTTATTCAAATAATAATATTGTAGTTTAATTGAATTTTTTAAACTTTCCCGTCGATTGATTGGACCGAAGTGCTCCTCGGTCTCAGGTTGACATGTCGGCTTCTTGTGCAGATGCTTCAACTATATATGGGCATTTAATTAGAAGTTAATTTGTGGATGGTGACTAGCTGTGGAATCCAGGACAACACGCATTTCGTCCTATTTGGGACTCGTCATCTGGATGCACCTGCATTTCCCAGTTAGCGATGATGTTGCCACCGGGGCTCGAACCCAGTGCCCAAATTTAAAAAATTAAATTAATATGACCCGTTGCACAAGAGGTGGTTCTCGTAGTCGAAGCGGTCTAGCGGATAACGCTTTGGCGTTTGGAACTATGGGTAGTGGGTCCGAGCCTCGTTGGGAACATCATCACTCACTGGGAAATGCAGGTACATCCGGATGACGAGTCCCAAATAGTACGAAATGCGCATCCTGGATTCCACTGCTAGTCAACATCCACAAATTAAATAATATTGTAGATTTATGAAATAATTGAGAAGATTTGTAGCTCAGGTGGATGATATTGAATCAGTTGTGTTCCATGAGGAGCTGGTTGATTTAATTACGAAGCTTTTGTCGTCCACTATTCTAGACAACATCTTCAGCCTGCAAAGATTTTAGTATAAAATGAACTCATTTAAATTCTCCATGAATGACGTAATTGTATCTCTTGGCAACCACTGTCGTCACTGGTTGTTAATTTATTTCTTCTATTGATAACTTTCATTGACTTGGAATTTCAAATTTCTTGTCACGTGATTCACTTTTTATATTTTTTTTTTATATTTTTTTTATATTCATTATTTTGAAAACGGTTAGTAGGTATTTTTTTCTTCTATTCTCTTCAACACAAAAGTGCTATTAGTGCGTTTGGAATCTTTTAAACACAGGCTGCACACAGTTTCTTTTGTGGATAATTGGCTTATTACTATTACAGTTGATCAACAGAGACATGAATTAACAAACAACCAGTGACGACAGTCGTTGCCAGGAGGTACACAACTGCAAGTTGACACCAATCCTCCAACGAAAACTGAAGTCTTGAATGCGATCAAGCTTCTGAAAGCTGGAAAAGCAGCTGGACCAGATGGAATACCTCCTGAAGCACTGAAAGCAGACCCGGAGACGACAGCAGATATGCTAACTCCATTATTGAAAAAGGTCTGGAAGGAGGGAAAGGTGCCTACTGACTGGAGGAAAGGTTACCTCATGAAACTACCAAAGAAAGGCGACCCAGGACTCTGCAAGAACTGGCGAGGAATCATGATCCTGTCGACGCCAAGTAGAATCCTGAGTCGCATCATCCTGGAGAGAATCAAGGAAGCACTGGATACAGAACTCCGACCAGAACAAGCTGGATTCAGGAAAGGCAAATCATGTTCTGACGAAATTGCAACTCTACGCATTATCATCGAACAAAGCATGGAATGGCAATCACACCTCTACCTCAACTTCATAGACTTTGAGAAGGCCTTCGACAGCGTTGACCGCGAAGTAATTTGGAAACTACTCGAGTACTACGGTGTACCCCAAATATTCATCAACCTTATTCAACACCACAGTACGACAACGGCACATGTCAAGTGATCCACAACGGAAAACTCAGCGAGGCGTTTCGAGTAAACACAGGAGTCAGACAAGGGTGCTAATTATCACCAATGATATTCCTAATTGTGGTGGACTGGATTATACGTCAGACAGTGGGAAACGAGAAGACAGGGATATCCTGGACCGACGTGAAGAATCTAGAAGACCTGGATTTCGCGCGTGGATGATTTATGTTTGATGTCACACAAAATCGAAGACTTACAAGCGAAAACCGATAGACTGGTCGAAGAAGCAGCCAAAGAAGACAAGACTCCAGGTGAACATAGACAAGACAGAGGTTATGAAAATAACCAACCAACAACAACAACAGAAGCAGCAACATCCAGCGCCAATCACCATCAACGGGAGGGATTTGAAAGAGGTTACTTCATTCACTTGTCTAAGGAGCATTGTCTCAACTACAGGAGGAACGGACGAGGATGTCAAATCGAGAATCGGGAAGGCGAGAAACACATTCATCAACCTGAAACCAATCTGGAAATCTTCGTCACTCAACATCAACAACAAAATTCGGATTTTCAATACCAACGTCAAGTCAGTCAGTTCTTCTATACGGATCAGAAACTTGGCCAGTGTGTCACAAAGAATATTTCCAACAGCCTGTTGCAGACCTTTATCAACAACTGTCGTCGTTCTATATTGAAGATCAGATGGCCGGAAAGAATCACAAACTAGAAGCTATGGGAACAAACAAAACAAGAACCAATCGCTCAACAAATATGCAGGAGAAAGTGGAGATGGATTGGACACTCGCTGAGGAGGCTGCTGGGTGACATCGCGCGTCAGGCCAATGCTCGAGTGGAACCCGAAAGGGAAGCGGCGAGTGGTTCGTCGGTGCAAGGGTGACATGGTGGAGATCGTGTGAAGAGGCACTGAAACAGTATGGATTAACATGGATGCAAGTGAAAAGTACAGCACAAGACAGAAGCAAGTGGAGGCGTGCAGTTGAAGCCCTATGTTCCACTAGGAACCCAAGGGAACAATAATAATAATAATACAATTAAATTATTCATGGAGAATTTAAATAAGTTCATTTTATACTGAAACCTGAGCTGGCTGAAGATGTTGTCTAGAATGTGGACGACGAAAGCTTAGCAATTAAATCAACCAGCTGCTCATAGAACACAACTAATTCAATTGTAGATTTATTTTAAGGTAGCATCGTTTTTAATTACAGATAAGGATGTCAAAGCCAGGTAGGATCGGAAAAAGCAAGATAAACACCTTCATTGCTGTGAAATAAGTGTGGAAATCTGCTGTACTCAGCATGTGGAACACGATGCGAATTTTCAACATTAAGGTAAAGTGGCAAAGTTAAACTATCATAGCCAAAACCAAGATGACCTTGAATAACCAATCAGAACTGCATACAAGTCGCATAATCGTTGAAAAATACGCTAAAAAATATATAACAAACTTGATATTACACTGTATAGTTGTAGCTTATGTGCTGTAAGAATTTCCCCAATCAATACACTTATGATCTACAGAGAAATCGTACCATGTGCGATATACCTACTCATCCAAGTGATTGTAGGTCATAGTACATTGAGATCAATTGCTATTTCTAACACTCTAACCATAAGCCTAACTCCTAACCTTAACTTTAACCCTAAACTTAATCTTAAAAGCCGTAACGCTACCGAACAGTATAGATTTGCAGAAACAGTACCTAGTATAAATAAGCAGAATACTGTATCTACCCTTTTCAATTACAAAAGGGCAGGCATGATTTGATTTGGAATGACATTTTATAGCATTCCCTGTGTCTAATCTGTTCTTGAAGGTCAACTTTTGAAAGACCTTGACTTTGGCTACGATACTTTAACTACTTCAGTGCTGCTATAATTGTCATGACCGGAACCATGGCCCAGTAGACTATTAGCGAATACTAAATTTAACGCACCGGCTAATCTGTCCTAATCGCAACATCGACAAAAATAACAATGACACCGCCGGGCCACAAAGACAGAAGAAAAGACTGGACGTTGGTAAGAGGGCTGTTTACTGTCACAAAGCAACAGTCAAAAAAAGGTTGACAGAGCTTGCGTATGCATAATTGATGTATGGTGACTAGCAGTGGAATCCAGGATGCGCATTTCGTCCTGTTTGGGACTCATCTCCTGGATGTACCTGCATTCCGCAGTGAGTGATGATGTTTCCACCGAGGCCAAGCACTTTGGTTCAGTCAATCGACGGGAAAATCTAAAATTCAGTTGAATAACTTGCATATATATGTTTACAATGAACTTGAGAAGAACTGATGTCATTAATGAATTAAGACAGTGAACAATCAATAGGATTCCAAAGGTCATAAGTAGGGTGAGAGAAAGTCATGTCATAAATCAATAAGAGAGGTGAGAGAAATACAAACAGACATGTAAAATTGATTTGATTATATTTCAGAGACTTGGGACACATACTAACAGAAGCATTTCCGACAGGCTACTGTAGACTTTCATCAACGCCTACTCCTTTTCCTACCTCTATACTGAAGATTGAATGGCCAGTCAGAAAGGATCAGCAAGAAAGAACTATAGCATCGAACCAACCAAGAACCTATTGCCAAACACAAATGTGCCGAAAAAAATGGAGATGGATCAGACACACGTTAAGGAGACTTTTGAGTGACACTATGCGCCAGGCCGCCGCTCGCTCGAGTGGAACCTGAGTGGAAAACACAACAAATTGCGCGCGGGTTGAAGGGTGACAACAATGAGGAGAAGAAAGCTTATAGGCAATTGTAGAGTCAACTAAAAATGATTGCAGAGAACAGGGTGAAGTGGGGACATGATGCTGCTGAGGAAGCCCTATGTTCCACTCAGAACACACGGGAATCATAATAATAATAGTAATAATGATAGGTGATACAGAAAAAAGTTAAAATGTACAAATATAATTGAAATGCATAAGGAAACTTACAATTAGGGAAATTTGAAGTGGGCAGATAATTTACTTGATTATAACGACCACTTCTAGGGGAACGAGGAGACAATGGAGGTGAGCGAACAGTACTATCTGTGTTAACAGATTGTGGGGTATTATATGTTCGTCTAAACGAAAACAAATAAGGTAAATGTACATTTTTAATAATGATAATAATAATAATAGGAACAGCTTTATTGTGAAACAATATATATATATAAATATATATATATAATAATGTACAGAATTTTCAGGGGAGCTTATCGCATGATATTTTCTCTTCCTCCAGGATCGTTTGACACAGTTCTATCTGACCTGAAGCACAAACCAATCCCACTTATGACGTTTCTTCTTTTCCTCCTCAGAGAAATACACGACATTTGGCTGAGTGGCAATTACAAAAGGTTCAGGGATACATTTTGTGAACCAAGGACACCACTTAGAAACGGTCATACTTTTCTCATGTTTAGCAGAAGCCTGCCAATCAGCAGGTTGATAGTGTTTGAAATACTCGCCAGAGTAAACAATACCTATTGGAGATCATACTTTAATAGATTTAAACAAACAGAACAGAAGAAACTAGATGCAGTATATTGATGGAGGTTTTCGATAGCCCAAGTTTTAAGCAGTTTTAAGCAAAACACTACCGAAACACAGTTCACAACCGAAATACGTAGCAACCAGGGTCTTACGAATCTACTAAGCGTCAATGCTTAACATTTTATTTGGTATTCCCTTACTAACATAGCTCTTATTATTATTATTGTTCCCTTTGGTACCGACTGTGACATAAGGCTTCAACAGCATGTCTCCCATTCGTCCAATCCCCTGCGGTCCTCCTAAGCTGGGCCCACATTTGCCCATGATCTTTGATCTCCTACTCGCACGATCTCTATGTCACCCTAGGACGACCCACTAGTCGTTTCCCATTCGGCTTCAACTCGAGGGCCTAGCGCACGAAGTCCAATCTATCTCCGATTTCTCCCACATATTTGTAGAGTGATAGGTGTTCAGTTAGTTTGTTCCCATAGTTTCTTGCTGCCAATTCTTTCTGGCTGGCTGTTTGTTCTTCAATATGCAGCCACAGAAGTCAGGTGTGGATTAACGTCTGCAGTAACCTGTTGGAAATACCCTTCGTGACGCATGAGCCAATTTTCTGACCCATTTGGAAAAACTAACTGACTGACTTTACACCAGTGTTGAAAATGCGAAACTTGTCCTTTATGCTGCTGAATGCAGAAGATTTCCAAACCAATTTCAGATCGATGTGAGTGTATCTGGCCTTTCCAATTCTGTCTAGCTTTGATATCTTCATCAGTGCTGTCGTCTGTAGTTGAAACAATACTTCCTATAAATAAGTGAACTTTGTTGTTACACAAGGTTGCAATATTCTGCTGTGCGCATTTATTCTTGCCCAAGTTATAACAAATGTTTGGATTGTATTAAAACTATACTGTGAAACCACATTGCTATATGTATATATTGGTTAGTTGCTCAGTACAGTTGCTTGAATTATAGTGTATAGCAAAAATATTCATTCAGACATCTATAAAACACAAAATAATCGAGCAAAGAATATTCTTTTCGATAAATTCCTCTTCTGGTTCTACAATTATATGTATATGTTTGTATACATAGAACATTCTATATTAGTAGTCAATAACACTATTTAACTGCTCCTGTGGACCCAGTTAGTTGCATAGGCCGTACAATTAGGCGTGTTTCTCGTCGAATTTACGAACATCACCCTGAATAGTGGTTAAGCAAAGGACTAACAAAATCTATTCGCAGCGCTATTCTATCTCATCTTGTGTATACAGAACACAAGATTGACGTTAACCATGCTTTCAGGGTCATCTACCGCATACCTACGAATCCCAATTTTGCCTTAACAGTTCGACTACTAAATATTACTGAGGCTGGCTGTTGGGATCCATATTAAGAAGCCTAATTTATGCATCCAAAAGAAGTTAGTTCAGACATTATCATTACCTTGGCCATCCAGGTTTGAATGATCCTGAATTTTTGTGGAATTTTCCTAATTTTAGTTGATATTCTATTCGCTACTAAATCTTTATTATTATTATTATTATTACTATTATTATTATAACTTAAGCATCTTTAATGAGCTGAAATTGCATGGATCATACTTTACAAATCGATATTATTTAAAAAAACACTAATATTTTTATTGACTACTATTCTAGAATATTCTATGTATATAAGCACGCATATATAATTGTAGAGGCAGAAGAGGAATTTATCGAAAAGGATATTCTTTGCTCGATTATTTTGTGTTTCATAGTGTATAATTTACCTGAATATTTAACTCCACCTGTGGAATATGATTGACATGGGTATACGAATGCAAGACTGACTGTCAATGCTGCTGGCTGACTGGATTCAACATAGAACTTGGCACCGAAGTGCAGCAGTTCCAGTTCCCACGTTCCAAATACCACACAAAGGTAGACAAGTAAATGAGTGAAGAGAATCAATAGAGTTTTGACAAGTATAAGAGTGAAACACATTGAGTAATGGTAGAAAGGAATATGAAAGATTACAGAGACTAAATACATCTGCGTAAGCCATTGACAACGATTTTGAGCCATGTCACCTATTGTGTCCAGCCATTGATTCTTAGAATCCCGAGGGCCTCAACCCGGAAGTCTGCATCTCCCTACCTGACTCAGTTTAACTGTCAAGGATTTCATGGATTGATTGATGCCATGTTTTTGTTTGGCCACCACTTACTATTTTCCAACCTGCACCTATATCAGCTAGTAATGCCCGTCCGTCAGGGGAGACGATGGTGTAAGTTAGTGGAAGCAGCCCGAGCTTTTTGGATCCGTGCTGAGATTTCGTCACCAATCAATCCGTTGGTGCTGATACAACTTTACAAATAGGTGAAGTGGTCAACATGGTCAACATGACTGTCAAAGAGACTTTGACACACACACACACACACACGCAAAATCACTTGTTCCTATTATTCAATGATGCAGAAATAAATACTATATGTATGTATATATATATATATATATAAATTCAGTGAATAAATCAACAACAAAAAGAAAGAAAGAAGAAAAAAAACTTGTAGTGACCTGAATTTCAAATACCTGCGATCTCGATCCATGCTTGCAGAATAGCTTGAATCACCGAATACACTGTTTCGATTCGTTTTACTCTTCAAATGCCGCATACGTAACAATCCATGTGGCATAGACGCTTTATTATTATTATGCGATTCACTGCCTTGCATACCAGCTGAATGTAGATCTACACTACTGCTATTTCTTGATAGAATTAAACCCAAGGGAGCTGAATTAAATCCCATACAAAGCATAGATGGATAACGTAGATCTTCAAGGAGACTGCGTAATTCATCTCTTGTCTCTTGTTGTACTTCACCGATATCGAAACCAATTTTCAGCATTTGAAAAGTTAATGCACGCAGTAGAATAACATCTAAATTCTCTGTACGATACATTACACCATGACGACTTGTAGTGGTTGTTGTTGTCGCTGCCGCTGCTGCTGCTGCTGCTGTTGTATACGCGGTACGTGATGCTGCTCCTGAGGATGATAGATATTTTTGTGATGAACTCTTCGACTGCATTGTATTCGCTTTCAACTTTTTATTACTAACAAATAATGTTGCTGAACGAAAACCAGAAATAGGTGTCATTGTTGTCAGTGCAGCTGGATTAGCTAATGATGATGACGGGAAGGCTGTAATCATTTGAACACATCCGAGTTTTTTTATGCCACTCAGCGCAGAGATCGGAAAACTTCGATTGATCACTTTGTTAGATTCTAGACAACACAAGGAAAAGATATATTTTTTTTAAAAAGGGATTTCCGTAATTTAAGTTACAATTACTGTACTTTATCGTGTGTCGGTAGTCTAATCGCAGAACGCTCGCTCGGTAGCCACCAGTACCACCACCACATGGGAGGTCCGGGTTTCATTCCCGGCCGATGCAATCCCAAAGCCCACTTAACCGGTAATGACCTTGAGAAAGAGGGGATGTCGGGTCTGAGGCTAACAATGGCACCACCACGGCTCCAAGCCAGAATATGTTCCATTCGGAACGCAAGGTATGAAAGTGAGTGCAATTTACATCTTTAGATTAGACAAGAAATAATAATGATGGACATGGATACTGCAATTATAGCACACTATACTAAAAAAAATTGAGCAAAGAATATCCTTTTCAATTCTATGCTGATAATTTTAATTTTGAAGTCACCGGAGCCACCGCTTCCCTCGTCCAGCAATGTTCGCTGACATAAGGTTGGATCGGGGAAGAGTCCAGGGGTGGTTAAAGGGAAATTCTCTCATCAATTCATGTAATCTTTGACAATTGGTTCAAACCATGCAGGGAGACGTGTAGAGCGACTGGCTGACTGGGGTTCTCAGGATGCTAAAAACTAATGGATGGAGACTATGGATGAGATGGCTCGAAATCATCCTTGGTGACACAGATGCATTTACTCCTTATGATTCTCATGGACACATTAAACACTCATATTTTCCATGTTATTCTTTCGTCCGTATAAATTTCTCCTCAATTCAGTTCTTTTGAATCATTTTTCGGTATTTGTTGGCCATGTAGAGCGTGAAAACTTGAAGTGCTGCACTTCTGTACAAAGTCAACTGAGCCTGTGGAGCGAGTTATATTGGCCGTTGCTCTAGGTACTTGATTTTTAATGCTCCCTCGAGAACATCTACCAGTATGGCTAAGTGAAGGTGTAGTAAAAACCATCAACAGTTCGATATTAGACCACCTGGTCCAAACCGGCCACAAAGCCAGCCAGCATTGAAGAATCCTTCTCCATCATTTACCAGGTACTAAATAAATTACCAAAACATCGAGGTACCACAGGCTCCAAACAGCAGAGGCTATCGCGATTCGCGTGAAACAACCAGTGCTTTGTGTGCAGAAGAAACAACTCCGGCCAGACACTACTACTGCCCTGACCAGCCTTCAGTGGGGACTATAAATTAGTGAATTTGTGTTATTATTTTTCTTAATTTGTCTAGTATTCCGTGTATTGTTATGTTGATGCTATTGAACTGTAATCCACTGATCATTATTATTGATTCGACGTTATTTAAACAACATTAATGTTGTTAATAACACTAATTTATTCCCTATTATGTACGTATATCTGTAGAACCCGATGATGAAGGCTTTATCGAAAAGAGTATTCTTTGTTCAGTAACCACTCTTTTAAAAAAAGAAGTGTAATGAGCATTTTCAATCAGTTACAAATTTTTAATGTTGAAACTTAATCCATCAGTACCTAAGCAACACAGAAACTCAGATAAGGCTAGCTATGAATGATGTTCAAACCGTGTAAAAAAAAAGTGTAAATATCGTGATTTGAATAGGGAAAAAAACCAAAAAAAAGATCCAAGATCATTGAAAGTAATGCGCATACACAGTATAATAAATACTTGTACTTTAAACTTACGAAATGGATCTTTTGGTACACCAGTAAATATTATTCGATAATTTGTAATGAATAATGCACCTTGAGCAGGTAATAATGGCCTGAGCATAATATCCACTTCTATATCGCCTGTTTCATTATTTCCAACTGAATCTTGTTTACTGTTATTGTTGTTATTGTTATTATTATCTGCCAAGTTATCACTACTATTAACACCATTAGTAGTAGAAGCAGAATTAGGCATGATATTTGTGAAAGGATCTAATAACTGATAGTCATTACGTTCATAACGTCCATCTGGTAGCAGTTGACAGGATAAACAATCATAACCACCGATTGGTATGGCAATTTCACCTGGCAGTAGAACTGGATTAGCTATTTCAGGCTATGCAAAAAATAGGAATGTTCAAGAAAAAAAAGGCAATTATGATTTATAAAACTGATTTTGGACAAAATCAAGGTAATAATTAATGAAAGAGATGGATTGATAAATACACAGACAGATAGACACACTAGCTAGATTAGGATTGCTCAAAACAAGTCAGCGAATGCAGGATTTGATCATGAGCTACCACTGGGAAGCCAGAAGAGAGTCCTGGACAGCTTCGGACTCTTCGTCAGTACGCACCCAGATCCTTCTGCTTACAAGGCAAGCTCGTAGACCATTCTCAGACACTGGGACCCAACTCAATGACCAGTCCATGAATTCCAACTTCTGCCAATTCACAACATAGCACAACCACTAGTCAATGTCATCGCTGGTAAGTATTTGTTTTCACATACGACCTGCTGTACCCCACTGGTCACGACTTCCCACTTGCACCCGAGTAACTACTACCTAAATGAATAGGGTTAATCGCCAGTGAGCATCCCAAACTATGACGAAACAGCTGTCCAGTACTCCCTGGCTGGTTTCTCAATGGTTCTCTAATCAATATCAGCTGATAATGAAATCCTGTAACCAGTTACAGGAAGGTCAATGAATACTTCAGTAAGCAACTCCGACCACAACAGGATGAGTTAAAAGAACTGAACTAGGACTTGATTGTATGAATGAGGGATAAATAATTGCGACTAGTCACATAATCAGAGTGTTTAAAGTGTTTCTTGAAGTTGTGTCGGTATGAGGAATTCACCAACGGCTACGAACCATTGGTACGGTAAGTTGGGATATACATTTTCCTTTTTGGTTGATGTTTCTAACCTCATCTCATTATAAAGTGGAGAGTGAGTATATAGCAGGCTTGCTAGTTACCTGACAGAAACACATTACTATTGTTACATCCCTATTCGCCGGTATATAGCGTGACGGACTAACAATATGATGATAACTGCTTTTAGTCGAACCCATGTTGAAAGCCAACCTGTATGGAATGATAGAACCTGTAGGAAAATTCTTTCCAACCAGTGTGGATCGTTGAATCATTGTGATTTACAATCCCTAATACCACAATGTCAGGATCAAGATACGGACTTGGTTGTACATGAAAGTGAATCGGGGATATTATTATTATTTCCTTTAATTCCTAGAGGAACATACGGCTTCAGCCGTGCGTCTCCATTGCGTTCGGTTCTCTGCTAGAGTCTTCACCTGGCTCCAAGTCTGCCCCTTTATTGAACGGTTTCATTTCTTCAAACTTGTGATTTTTGAGGGTAGGTTTAAACATCGCTGCCCGATTAATATCAGGAAAGTAATGTACGAGCGGAATTCGGACACTTTTATCTAATATAACATCCACAGTGATGCAGAATCAATAATTGAATGAAGTTTTCCGTTCATAATTATCATGCCAATGTATTCATTTACACGGCTTCATAATTAACTTTATATTTATTGTTTTATTTCCCTCTTCTTTATCGAAGTCTCGACACGTTAGGATTCTTAATAAGGCTAGAATTCGAGTGATATTTAAACCAACAAATGAACTCATTCAGAGACTAACTTTATCAGCTTAAAGATCCGATAGATCCAATAACGAAAAATAATATAATTTACTAAATATAATCACTGTAAGGTCACTTTACACATAGGTCAAACTAATAAATTGGGGTCAATTAGATTATTGGAATATCAAAAAAATATATAACTAGAACTAGAATGATTGACTCTGTTAAGTTGAATAACCTAGAAAAAAGCTCAGCCATTTCATTGCACTGCAATCACACAATTCATGGTGAGTGAGTGAGAGTGAAGTATTGAAAAGTAATGCAGTTAGATGGAGAGAGAGGAAGGTTAATCATTGAAGCTTTGTTTATCGACTGAACACCACACACGTGCATTCGGAATGATGCAGAGCCTATACTGGAGATATAGAAGTGGCAACAAACAACAAGGGCGAAATGGAGACAGAATATCTATAAGACAAATTGTGAAATCGTGTGACTAAAATTGATAAGATTATGAGTGGCAATAATTTATGCTGGACACCTTGTCATCCAGTTGGTAATACTGCATCATCAACCACAATGTCCAAGTTCTACACTTACATTGGTAGACTCTCAAATCTACTAGTTGTATTGACGGTCATACCAACCCACCACTTTATGTGATAGTAATTAAGGAAGCCAGCACAAATGAGTAGGATGCCGTACACACCAGAACTTTCGTCAACCAGAAATGCTTACAGGATAGATCAAAGTGATCTGGACACCGTTTATGGCTAAGTTCACAAGATGGGGGGGGATTACACAAGCATGTTTGGTTCTCCTGTGTAAACTAAACGCATAACTACCCAAACAATAGGTATGTCATTAGATGAAGTAGAGATATGGCTTATTCCATATTAGACAAATTTATTTTAAATAGCACACAGTGATGCAGTGATGGATGACAAGGTTTCGAACATAAATTATTGCCACTCATAATCATATCAATTTAGTCACACGGTTTTCACAAATTGCCTCATATATTTTTTTGCCTTTCTCTCTCTCTCTGTTCATTTTCCCCTTGTTGTATGTTTCCACTTTCCATATCTACGGCATAAGCGTCGCGTCATTTCGATTGTACGTGTGCGATGTGGAATCGATAAACAAAGCTTCAATGATGAACCTCTATCTCTGTTTCCATCTAACTGCATTACTTCGTAATACTTTCACCCTGTCCCACCCATGACGAATTGTGTGATTGCATGCAAATAAATGCAGTACAATGGCTGGGCTTTTTCCCTAAGCTATTTAACCTACCAGAGTCAGTCATTCTACGTCTACGTGTAATCCGAATGACACAACAACTATACCAGAGATATGGAAAGCGACAACAAACAAGGGGAAGACATAGAGAGAAAGAATATATATATATATTAGTCCCTTTCATAAATTTGGATAGTGTTATTAGAAGACGCAGATTATCTGAAAAATGTGATGTGATGTATTTGCGCTATACATTGCGAACAATCTGATCAAGTCGATATATATGAAAAAATTAAGGGTAATTAAATTAAACAAAGTGACTAAGAAAAGGATTTAAGAATGATTAACACAACGTTTGGTAATCCAATCAAATAAGGATTACCAAGGTAGGTTAAGAGTAATAATTAACTGTTTTTGAATACACCGGGGGGAGGAAGCTTAAGTTTATGAATAGCTATAGCCTCAGCGTATTTTGATAAGCGCCCTTGACCATTTTTATAGATGACCTGAGTTATGGTTCATCTGGATTAGGTGTTTAGCTATAGACGAAGTTGGTAGTCTGACACCTGCGTCTATTGGTTTTCCACAATTCATTTGTTTTTCTAACCATTTCGGGATATGCTCTTCCACCCTCACATACACACAAAACCACACGAAAATTGGTAAATAGTGTGGGATGTGACATAATCACTTGTGCACTTTTGAGGTTTGGAGCAGTGGAGCATATTTTTGGCTTTTTTGATAATTACAAACCGGGCTGCATAATAGGTTCTACGGATGATCGAATTCAACCTTTGTCTCAAAATCCTACTGTTTATTTCCCCGTTATATGGTAATTTGATGAAGACATTTTTCTTAGGGACGGCAAAGATTGTAGGTTTAAAGACTAATTAACTTCTACGCCTGTTTAAAAATTTTAAAGGATATCCGTTTTCAACAAGAGTATCCATCAATATTAATATATAATATTATTACTCTTAACCTACCTTGGTAATCCTTATTTGATTGGATTACCAAACGTTGTGTTAATCATTCTTAAATCCTTTTCTTTGTCACTTTGTTTAATTTAATTGCCCTTAAATTTTTTTACATACATATCGACTTGACAAGTAAATGTGTGAGGGATCAGATTGTTCGAAATGTATAGTGCAAATACATCACATCACATTTTTCAGATAATCTCCGTCTTCTAATAACACTATCCGAATAAATAAATAAATATATATATATATATATATATATATATAGTATTGTAGTATTGTATAGTATTGTATATTGGCTTCTGGTTTTACCTGATGAGATGCAAGGGGAGAGTTGTGAGTGAAGAGGGTGGTGTGAGTTAGATAAAATGGACTTGGCCCATTTCTCACATGAGTCCATGTGCCTGTCGACCAGAATATTAACAAGCTGGTTAAGTGGCACGTTGCTTGCCCTGTTGACAACCTTTAACATCCTGCGTAATATGTTATAGTCTTTCTTCTAACTTCTACCAATTCGTGATTTAGCGCGACCCCAACCATTTTCATGAGCCATTGAATCGGGTCCCAGTGGCTGAATGGTAAACGAGCTTGCCTTGTAACCGGAAGGTCCTGGGTTCGAACCCCCCGTGGAGTGGGTGCGTACTGCCAATGATTCCCAAACTAGGATGAAACAGCTGGCTGTCCAGTACTCCCTGATGGTTTTCAATGGTTCTCTAACTGAAATCAATCCGTGATCAACCGGTAGAAATAATGAAGTTCAAAAATACGAAATAAAGAAACAACAGAAAAAAGGTCAAAAAAACAAAGTGGTATATTTTAGAAAAATAAAATATACACACACGCACACGACCTACCTTCTTCATATGTGGAATATTTTGTACTTTTGGATAAATAGCTTGCAAATTTATTAGATGACTTTCAATAATAGCTAAAGATAGAAAAAGAAGAACAGCGAATAATAATAATAATAACAGTTATGTTAGTGATAATGAAAAAATCAATAAATAGTATAATGCTATGTACACATCAAAAAATGGCTCCATTGTAAAATGGGCTTTACTGTACAGTGTAGTAATGAAATGACCGTTTCAGGGCATACAATGCGTATCAACTGACCTCTTTTTCTGTTTACTTATTCACTGACTAACACCATACATGTCAGTTAGTAAGCTATAACTATAACAGAAGTATTTAGTATATAGGATGTATATAATACAACCCCTCTTCTGAACTATTACAATACAGTGAAATAAATAAACAGAAGTATATTGGTGTAAATATTAACAAGGAGAAAAATAGACAAGGAAGAGGATAATCTCCGATGAAAATAATATAAATAGGATATGATATGAAAGCATCTTGGAAAGACTGACTGACTGGTTTCAACATAGAACTTTGCACAGATGTGCAAGAGTTTCAGTTGTCAAACTTCCCCCATGTACCATAGAAAGCAAGAGAACCGAGTAAAGAGACATTCAAAAGAGAGAGAGAGATAATAAACAGAAGTGTGAGTGAGGGAAAAAGAATACTAATATGGAAGAACAATAGAATTTTATTCAATATGACAAATCATCACAAAGAGTGAATGCATCTGCGTTGTCATTGACAACTATCATTTTGAGCCATATCACCAAATGTCTCCAGTCTTCATTGGTTCTTACCATCATCCCGAGGAACCCAACCAGTCAGGTTATCTACACCTAACTATGTGGCTGGCGTGAACTAACGGTTGTTATGGATTTCATTGACTGATTAAAAATGTTTTGGTTAACCGCCCCTAGCTTTCTCTTTTCAAACCTGATCCACCCTATGTTAGCTAGCATTGTCCGTCGAGGAAGGAGATGATAGCTAGACATACGTAACAAGTGTCCTAAGCATCTCAATCGATGTAGCTTCATAACCTAGTCGATTGATTTCCCCCCTTTACTTAGCACTCAACAGAACCCTTGACTCAATATTACACGATATAGTAAACCATTTAAGACGGGAGATAGAACACAGACAGCTGTGATTAGAGAGAACTAGTCTTAGCATGTTTTCTTCTTTCAATGGACAAGTCTCACAGCCAGCCATCAAAGAAGACGGAGTGAACTGCTGAGCGGTACAGACGTCCTTTGATCCATAGCAGGCAGGATATCACATCTACGCCACAGATGGCGTAAGTTGATGGGTAGATACAAAATGAGTCTTCTGTATCTGTGCTGAGATCTTATCAACGGACAATCCACTGAGGCTGAGGCAAAATCTCATATAAGTGAAGTGGTCAACACGCTCCTGTAGCAAACCATCGCACCTTCAACTATCACCCCATTTAAATCAATGACAAACGTGATTATTGAGTGTGTATGTGTGTGTGTGTGCTAAAATATTTGATAATGGGAAGAAATATTAAAATGGGAAGTGGTTCATATGATATAACTATGGTTGAAGGTGACCACCAGCAGTGGAATCCAGGATTTACATCTCATGCCACTTGGGACTCGTTGGCTGGATGGATACACACCTGTACTCCCAGTGGAGTGATGCTGTTCTCAATAAGACAAATCGATTAGAAATATGAATGAATAAAGACTATTTTTCTAAATCACTAGATAAAATAAAGTCCAAGGTAAAAAAATAGATAGTATAAACTGTTTGTATAAGCACAGTTTCGGTTTCATACTATCTACTGTCAAGGTTTCCTAGCATACTTCATCGTACTGTGTTGAAGAATAAATTTGACCTTATATATATCTGTAAATTCACATTTCGTATTTCCGTATGTATTCGATCCCTCTATTACATATTTTCGCTCGTGTCTGCTGTAATTTCCGTCGCCTTTCCTCACTGCCAGTTTGATCACAGGTCGATATCAGCTAGAGAACCACTAAAAACTGGGGGGAGTACTGGACAGCTGTTTCGTCCTAGTTTGGAACTCCTCATCAACATGCAACCACGACCCCACCAAAGACTGAACCTAGGACCATTCAGTCACTGGAAAGGAATTGAATAACCCACGGATTCTAACTTCTGTCGTTTCGCTGTGTTGTTATTCATGTTTCTACTCAATTAGTAATTCATAAGCACCTTCGATGTTACCACTAACACACACACACACACACACCGTCGATTATAATCCATATATGCGAAAACAACTGTGAACGGGGTACGAAAATGAAATCATTGTAAAGAGAATTTCCTCCTATTGAAATCTTCTGAATACATACATACAACATATGAGTAGTATAATACAGCCTTAGTAACAAACACTGTCATATATGTATGTATGTATATATGCACTTGAAGTTTATTGATTACCACTATACCATGTGTAGTACACTCTTTTTGATGTATACAAGTGCATCTACAAAAGCAATACTTGAGTTGAAATGTAATCATCCCCATCAACATCAACAACATCATAAGGTAACATTGGAATTTCACCAGTAGGGCACTTCACAACATATATATATATATATATATATATATATAGATGGAATGATGTGAAAAATGAACAAACACGAAGATAGGTAGATAGAGAGGCAGACATACAGACGGGTGAATAGATAGATAGATAGACAAACAGACAGTCAAACAGTCAAAGTCGCATAGCCAGTACTCTTCACATATGGTGTTAGAATTATCTTGACACATTTTTGAAATTATTATTATTATTGTTTTAAAACTAATCACGGTAACCTTTCAGGTGGTTAGAAATATTTTTTTGCGTTGTTAAATTGCGACTGTTATCTCTAGACATGAGGAACAAAATTAGGATTTTCAACACCAGTCTTTAGTCAGTCATTTCTATTATATGGGTCAGAAACTTGTACTAGTAGTCAAGAATAACATTTCAAACAGACTACTGTAGACTTTTATCAACAGCTGTCTCTTTCACTTGCATAATATTGAAGATCAAATGGCCTGTTGGAAAGAATTAGCAACAAGAAACTCTTGAAATGAACCAATCAAGAACCTACACATGTCTCCCCGGGGAAAATGCGGATGGATCAGACGCATATTGAGGAGACTATCATTGAGTGAAACAGTGCGACAGGCAGGCAGGCAGGTGCTCAAGTGTAACCAGAAATGAAAACGATGAGTTAAGCGTGTGTCCGAGGGTGACCCAAAGGAGATCGCGAGAGGAGAAGACCAAAGACTTTGGTCACAGTCAGAGGGTGGCCAGGTGAAGAGGATCACCGAGAATAGGACAAAATGGAGACGTGTTGTTGAAGCCCTTTCTGTCTGTTTTCGACATAGAACTTTGCACTGATGTGCGGCAGTTCAAGTCGCCACACTCCTCCCATGTAGCACACAAAGGAAGAGAAGAAAGTAGGAGAAATACATAATACTGACAGTAAACAGAGGTGTGAGACAAAGGAATAGTAATAACGAAGAACGAAACAATTTCATTGAAAATCATAATTCACAAGGAGTGGATGCATCTGCGCCAGCCATTGAGAACGATTTTGAGCCATGTCACCAATTGTTTCCAACCATTGGTTTTTACCGTCCCGAGGACCCCAACCAGGGAGTCTACACCTTCTTACGTGGCTTAGACTAACTGTTGTAGATTTCATTGACTGGTGCCATGTTTTGGTTTGACCGCCGCTGGCTCTTTTCCAGCCTGGCCCTATATCAGCTAACATTGCCCGTCGAGGAAGGCGATGACAAGGCATACGTAACACATGTCCTAACCATCTCAGTCGATGTAATTTCACAGTCTCGTCGACTGATTTCCCCGCCTTACCTACCACTCGACGCCTAACCTCAATATTGCTCACCTTATTATACCACTTCACACGGGAGATAGAACGCAGACACCTATGATCGAACACAGCTAATCTTTTCATGTCTTCCACTCTCAATGGCCAGGTATCACAGCCATAAAGGAGGACGGAGTGGACTGCTGAGCAGTACACCCGCCCTTTGGTCGATGGTCGGATATCACGTCTATGCCAGAGACGGCGTAAACTGGCATATGCGAAACTAGCCCTCTGTATTCGTGTTGAGATTTCGTCAGAGATCAACCCGTTGGGTCTGATGGTACTTCCCAAGTAAGTGAAGCGGTCAACGTGCTCTACCACTTCACTTCCTATTTCTAATCTAGGAGCGAGTTATTTCTTATTCACTTGTAGGAATTTAAAAAGTATTGATGATGCAAATCCCTACAACTTTCGACAATATTCGCTATGTAATGCAACTGGGTTGATGGTGACCAGCAGCAGTGGAATGCGAGATGGCATATTCCATCAACTAAAAATGTACCTGAATCTCAGTGAATGACGATGGTTCCTAGTTGAAACTCAACCTCGGTCCTCATCGTTTGAAATAACAAAGCGTTATCCAACAGCCTACTACTGAACGACGACAGCCACTCATTGTGGAACGAGTATCAGTTAACTATAAATTAACTATACAAAACTGCCTTTCACCTGTCTTCACATGCTTATTTATATGTAAATGGGACATACATATACACAGATAATAAGCGAAACAATGCAGCATGAAAGCCAACAATATAAACACACACACACACAAGTGATTACCTTTAATTTTGCCTTCAATCTCATTAATACGTTTCCGTAGAAGATTATTCTCTTCACCGACATTTTTAACAAATTTCAATAACCAATTTTCTAAAACATTAATATGACTGAGTAGAGTGGCTGGATTCATTTCATTGAAATTTTGAGTACTATACCGACTGCTAAATACGGGAAAAGGAAATAATAAAAGCAAACAGGTAACACTATAGGAGAAACGCAACTAACTGTTCAAAACAAATCAATAAAGGTGGAATAAAAGGAAAGACAACTGTGATAAATAGTGAAAATGTGATATATCATGAGAGATGAAATAAATATATGTATATATATAATACCACACGAATTCCTAAATTCATTTATATAGTTCCATTGTTTTTCACTTGATTTGATTGGTAGTAATATTTTCCATATTTCGGGTATGAGTCATGAATCATTCCTATTGCATGTGTTGGGTGTAGATTCGATGAACAAGGATTCAGTTATCAACCTCTCTCTCCACCTACCTAGATTACTTTTAAGAATTTTAACCCTCTCCCACCCTATTGTGTGGTTATGTGCTAATGCATGCATTGCAATTGCTGAGCTTTTTTCTAAATTACTTATCTTCTCTGGGTCAACCATTTTTACCTTAGCTTAATTCTTATGTTCTGACAATCTGACTACCCCTGACCTACTAGTTTGACCTATGTAGTTGACCTCACAGTCATTGCAGGGTATTTTGTAAATTATATTATTTTGTATATGTAATACAACTAAAGAGAGAGGTATCTGTGGTTCAGGTGATTGTTGAATGCTCATCACAGCCAAGTATGTGGTCGGGGTTTGACTCTAACTCACTTCCAGACCTCATCTATTTTGACAGCTGATAATAAGCCCAGGAAAGAGGAAGGCTTGAGGATGTGAGAGTAGCTACCCCTTTACCATGAAAACAACACCACAGGTGAGTCGGTGGCACAGTGGTCAGGACTCTCACCGACCATGCACATGGTCCGGGGTTCAAACCCCTGCCGACGCACACCCGATATCTATGATCGGCCTGCAAAATTTGGGCTACCAATATCCATGCTGAAAATTCCATACTTGGACTGAAACTACGGTGTGTTATCAAGCTGTAATCAAAATTAATTAAATTAAATTAAACTGTAAAACTTCATACTAACAGCCGCCCTATGTTCGCCTTGGTGCTCAATGAATGCGAAAATAACCTGATATATCCCGTCGATGGATAAATAATTATATTAAGCTCACGATTAAACAAACACGTCAGAAAAATACGCATTGTACAGGGATCTTCACATTTTCGGGATGAATACGCGTATTAACTGCAATAGTAATAACGGTAGCCAGGTTCAGTTCGAAAATCTAATAAACCAGACTTACGATCTCACACCTACATCAGACGAAAACCTACAACAATTCAAAGCATCAATCCTCGACTGTTGTCACAAGTTTATAAATACCAAACACAACGGAAGGTCCATCTTGACGAAGAGGCACCATAAGGAGCTGAAAGAACTTATGAAAAATGAAGAGATTATGATATTACGTCCTGATAAAGGCGGAGGAATCGTAATCATGAATCGCAAGGACTATATCAGTAAAATGCTGACTATACTATCCGATGAATGCAAATTCACAAAACCGATCAACGAGAAAAACATGACTGAACAAACCGAACAAAAGCTAACGGACACCCTTCGTAAGTTGAAGACTGAATCCTTCATCAGCAACGAAATGTTCGAATCCCTTAGACCGTCTGGCTCAAATATACCACGACTTTACGGACTCCCGAAAGTACACAAGAAGGGTATCCCTCTTCGACCGATCCTCGACATGACCAATTCACCCTATCACCGCACAGCTCAATGGTTAGCAGATCTACTTGAACCAATCAGAAAACAAGTTTCCTGCCACACAGTTCGAGATTCATTCGACTTTATTGACTCAATCGAAAACATTAACGTATCCAACAAGACAATGATTTCATTAGATGTCACATCACTATTCACAAACGTTCCACTGACTGAAACAATATGCTATATATGCGAACTCATTCACTCCAAAGGAATAAACATCGGTATACCCACCGAGCATCTTAAAGAACTCCTACTGAGGTGTACCCTGAATGTTCAATTCTCTTTCAACAACGAAATATATCGCCAAAAGGATGGTATAGCTATGGGCTCACCACTAGGCCCTTTGCTTGCAGATTTCTTCATGGCAAAACTCGAAAACACATGCCTGAAGAAAATGATCAATACCTTCGAAATCTATAAAAGATATGTCGACGACACCTTCATTATCGTCAACAACGAAGAAAATCTAGACGACATCTTAAGGTCGTTTAACAACTGCCACCCTGCAATTCAGTTCACGATGGAGAAAGAGTCCAACTCCACAATATCTTTTCTTGACGTCCAACTAACCAGAAGAGAACAGGATGGAACACTGAGAAGATCTATCCACAGAAAATCGACGTGGAACGGACAGCTTACTAACTTTCACAGTTGGGTACCACTATACACCAAACGAAACCTGATCCGTTCACTCAGCTACAGAGTTGGCAGAATCTGCACCCCGGACACCGTAAAAGATGAACTGGACAACCTCAAGAGAATCCTCGTCGAGAATTGCTATCCAGAAAGATTTATTGCAAAATCTATGAATCCTAGACCAGAAAAGCCGCCCATACTCAGCGTCAAGAAAAAACTACTCTACATGAACCTCCAATTCAATGGAGATCTATCTGCGGAAACACTAAAAAATCGACTGTCGCGCTCACTTAAGAAGACCTTCTTCGCAGCTGAACTACGACTAACCTTCTCCACAAAACCTATGATTCATGTGAACGTGAAGGATAAGCTACCGCTGCTGGCCTCATCAATGTGCATTTATCAATTCACCTGCTCGTGTGGAGCCAGGTATGTCGGCCGTACCCAGCGCTCGCTTTCCAAACGTATCACCGAGCACTTACCAGCATGGTTTTACAAAGGAGAAAATCGATGCCCCCGCAGTTCCATCTTAGAACATCTGATAGAATCCAGACACCAAGCGACACCGCAAACAAACTTCAAAGTCGTCTACAGAGTAAGAGGTGGTCTCCCTAAAGGTGTACGAATCAGACTTCTTCAAACTGCAGAAGCAATGGCGATTCACTTACTAAGTCCTGAACTCTGCATACAGAAGAAGTTCGTTCAATCGCTACACTTGCAATGGACGTAATCTATCTTATTAGCCGACATGTAAATTCTACCTAATTTTTTTTTCTGTCTCTTCATTAGTATTATTTTGTCTTCTCAATTGTAACATTTTACATTCCCAACTTTCTTGTTCTCTACCCCCACCCGATTCAATCTCTACACCCCACTACCACTGTTACTGACCTGAACAACGCTCAGTTTCTAGTCATTCATGTTACGTCATCCAACTTATTCACTCAATTTCACTTCTACTTAATCTCTACCTGTAATTACCTCTGTTGCTATCCTGACCTAAGTTGTAACATTTTAGCCAATTATATTACGTCATCTAGTTTTTTAACTCAGTCTTACTTTAATTGCTGTCTGATTAACTTTGTCTCTATACTACATCATTCTTGTATTAACTAATCAATTATCCAAACTTGACAAACCTCATGTACACACACACACAAATATTTATATATAAATGCGATTGTACAGCTATGTGAATGAATTCGCCGAAAAGAGTCTCTTCGCTGAATGTCTTCTGTTGATATGTCAGCTGCTAGAACGGATGTTTTGACGATGTCAGGTAGTTTACACATATCGCTATTTGATGGAATCCAAGATTTGCGTTTTCGTTATATTTTTGGACTCGTCGTCGGGATTCAGCTGTTATCATCAGTGAGTGATGATGTCCCCAATAAGATTCAATGTCAGTATCATGCTTTTTTTTAACTCATTCCAAGTACCGGACTATGGGCCACACACTTTTTGTGTGTGTGTGAGGGCTGGTGATACCGCCCAGATGTCTACGCTGAGGTACAGCTAAGTGGAGCAGGACTGGAGCCATTAGGTGTAAGTCGAGTGCTTAAACTAATATGCCACTTCTCCATTAAAAGTGTGGTGAGCGTTGGCTGCTAGCCAAAGTTAGTAGACAGTAATTGACGTCAATGTTTATGTGCCCAATATTGGTCGTGTGAAAAATGAGAACAAAGACTTTGGGTAGGCGCATACAGTTAGCATATAGATGATCTGGCATTCAAGAAACAGCCACAAAGAGATGAAACATTAACTTTCAGTGAGAAATCACTAATCAGAGGATTGTGTTTGTTTGCTTAAATAATCTATAATAATGTACATGAAAATATATGTGTTGGTTTGCTTAATAAACGATCTGTTGCCTGGCCCTTGTCTTCTGTTGTTACAAAAGTACTTAGCTCGAGGCCTCGCTGAAACTTGAGTCACTAGATTTAGAGTCCAAAGTGCTAACTGCTACATCATGAGCCCATGAGTATCATTCATTTCAAACGCCAAAGCGTTATCCACCAGACGAGTCGCAAATAGGACGAAATGCACATCCAATATTCCATTGTTAGTCCGCATCCGTCAAATGAACAACGGAACCTTGTCGATTCATTGGAAAGGGTATTGCGAGTATTCAAGTGTTCACGAAACAACAATTGGGAACCAGTACAAACCTTAAAAACACCACACATTATACAAAAGTCGATTGAATACAGACAGTAGCACAATTTGAGAGCAATGAAAAACTTATACTTTTACTAAAAACTCCCAGATACGGCTTAATTAAACTGTAATTCTTGGAAACGCTGATTCGACATCATGCAGTTGTGACGCTAAACATTTTTTTCACCTGAAGATTACGTATACAGTCTTGCTGTATGCAATTTAAATGAGGGCGACACACACACATGAATTAATATGACTGAGACTGAAATACAACATAGAACTTTGCACAGAAGTGTACCAGTTTGGGTTGTCACACTCCATGGCTGACAAAGGCAGAGGAGAGAGAGAGAAAGAGGAGATTCAAAAGGATCATAATGAGTAGATGTATGCAGGAGAAAGATGTTGTTTTATAAGCTCATCGATTGACTCGCTCGCTATAGCTAGTATTTAACGCCTAACCCCTCGTTGTTACCCATCATGTCATACCACATAATACGGGAAACAGAACG